TAATAAGTTGATTTTGACACTGACATGGAAAGTGAATGATTTTTTGTTTTAAAGTTCTATTATCTGACTTTTTTCAAAATTGATCTTATCTGATTTTTATACTCTTTAAGTATTTTCTTATCTTATTTGATTATTATAAACTATGATTTTTATTTGTTGAGACTTGAAAATATTATTTTTTATAATTTTTGATAATTTTTATAAACTCTTAGGTCATTTTATGCTTTTTATTACCAGATTTATCTTTTATTTTAATTATTAGATTTATATTTTAATTTTTTTATTAAATACCCGCTATTTGTCTATAGCAGCCGCTATGCTACCCGCTACGCTATCATAGTGGATTTCGGCCTTTCCGTTATTTGTCGCTATTCGCTATTGATAACACTGTTTTGAAGTGGTGGCAGGACTAAACCTGTTTTATGCAAAAGTAAGTATGACTGATTTGAAGTGAAATTTTTATGCTTTTCATTAATTTGAGCATGCCTACTTGAAATTTAATTGATTGTCCTGATGATTTGAAAGTGATTGGTGAATTATGATTTTTCTATTAACTTCTGTCTGTTTTGTCTCCGATGTGGTCATGTTGTTAGTGACCCTGCTAGTGGGGGTTAAACGCTAGCACATGTCGACATGTTTACTGATATGACTGGTAAATTCTGACGCCTGCCAATGGGCGAACACATTGGTAAATTTTGATGCCTGCCAGTGGGTGTTATACGCTGGCCATGACTTATAGAGGAGACGTCTATTTCGTTCTTGCACTGTAACCGTTTTCGTGATTATACTGGTTGGCATGCTATAAGTTTAATTAAGGGCACTCCATATTTTACTTATTGAGTTTATCTCATAGTTTTTCCTTGTCCACCATTTTAGGAAGCGAAACCGAGGACGAGGAAAAACGAGGAGAGTGACGAGTTAGAAGGCTAGCCACTTGTAATTTGATGTAGATTTTAGATATAATCATGATCTTGTAAGTTAGACTGTATTTGGAGATTTTATGATATCAGAGTAATATTAAAGATTTTATCTTCAGATTTTGTGGTATCAGATTGTGGTATGATAAGTTCCGAGCCTTGTGCATTTGTGGGACCCTTTCATGAGTGCACGGCGTTTGTTACGCCTCGGATTTAGGTTATGGGGCATGACAAATTTAGTGGTATCAGAGCTTAGGTTTAAATTAAGAGTTTAGGTTTAAATTAAGAGCTTAGGATTAAATTAAACACCTCCAGATTTAGTGGTATCAGAGCAAGGTTTAATTCAGAGCTTAAGTTTAAATTAAGAGCTTAAGATTAAATTAAGCACCTCCAAATTGAGTGGTATCAAAGCTTAGATTTAATTAAATACCTAGGTTTAATTGAATACCTAGGATTTGTTTTGGACTTGGTTGGCCAGTGGATTTTAGAACCGTGGTGAGATGAGTGATGGGGTTATATAAGGGACGATTCTGATTCATGTTGCTTGAATTTTCTAATCCATTTTGATGAGATGGTAATCTGATTGTCCTTGTTTCTTGCCTTCATACCTTGTGTAGATTCAGGAAATTAATCTTGTCCGCCATGTTCTTAAGACCTTGTTTTGAAACTTGGTCATTTTCTAATAGTCCGCACTTGTTTAGACTTGTTACTTGAATAGAAATTTTGTATGCTCTTTTGCCGCAATTGAAAAATTTGGGGAGTTGCAGAGATCTTTTGCTATTGATCTTGTTGATCTTTACAGCATAGCTAGTTCAGAAATTTGTTCTATTTGTCACATGACCAGTGGAAGATGGGCAACTCTCTACTTTGTAAGAGATTCAAGGCTATTTTAGCAAATGTTGTGTGTTTTTTAGATGCGTTTTAGGAGCTGGATAACTTAGTAATTTCGCTGCTCATTATCTTTCTGAAAGTCTTATGGTGAAGTTTCACTTTTTTTTCCACTTGGAGCTTCATGGTCTTTTCATGTGGCTCATTTTTCTATATTGGTTAATCAAAAACAGTGGTCAATTCAATTGAAATTACCGTATTTTTGTGAAGATTGGCAAGTTGTCATAAAATTTAAACTCTCTATTGTTGCTAATCTCTACATTCTTGTTGTCTGTTGAAATTGCTTGAAACTCCTAAAATCTGTCTTGAATCTTTCTTGATATTGCTTTGTACTTGTTCTTGAAACTGAAATCCAGAAATGGATAATGATTATTGAAATCCTCATTATCTTGATTCTTGTCTGAAATCAATTCTTGCATTGTTCTTGGAATCTTATCTCGAACCTTGCCTGGAGTAAAGTCATGCTAGCATCCTTTTCTTGAAAATCAATTGATATTTGGTTTTTGAAATCTATTTTGAATTGTCCTTGAAAATCATTCTTGTCTTGACCCTTGCTCTTGTTCAAATTATGTATACTACTCTTGCTCAAATCCTACATATTATGCTAGTTCTTGTTTTAGTATACCTGTCGATCTTCTTGATTTTGATTTTATTCATATGGACACCTCTTTAGAAGGGGTGATGGTTATTAGAAAATACCTATATGAGGCATCTTGATTCCTGTCTCTTACAAGTGTTAATCTCTGTATTCTTAAGGTCTTAGCTTTGACTTGACTCTAGGATGTCTAGGATGACTTGATTGTAAATCTACTTAGCCTTCATGGGCTACGAGGTGAAGGGGTAGTCTTTGAAGTACCCGATGCCTTAGAGTTATGTTCCCAGAGAAATGGTTCTTTTTCTGGCTGCTTTGATTTTGTTTGCCTTTTTAATTAGAAGACAGTAATCTTCTAAGTATCATGATCCCCACTATTGATTATTTTGTTAATTAATTTGTGCTACTTGGGGTGTTAGATCTTGACATCCTGGTCTGCTCTTGAATCCGTGTTCTGGTTGTCATTATTGAAATTTCTTTTGTGGGCCTAATCCTTGAATTCTATTGCTCGTTTCATGGTTAACTCTTATCTCTCAATTTTGACTGCTTGGTTAAATTTGATCTTGATTCTTGGTGAATGCCATTTTGTTGCTGAATTTTTTAGGCATTCTACCTCGCACTCTTTTGTTTCAGCGTTCTTCCAAGCATTCATATTTTCCACTGATTTCATTCTAATGCTATTATGAAAATTTTACATGTCATTTGATGGGTCTAGCTTTTAACTCTTGTTAATTGCTAAAATATGTTTCTTGATTCCAGTTGCTTTGTTAAACATGACCTTTCTTATTGGTTAACCTTGTTGCGGCAGAATTTATAAGGCATCCATGCACTTTTTCATTCATTCATGGTCCATATATCCATTGGATGCTTATCCGTCTTTGATAGAGTTCCAAGTTTTGTTGTACTCGTCTTTAAATCCATGCCATTCTTTGCCAACTCGTCTTGTGTTGGGTTCATAGCGTAACCCCACAAGTGTTCTTTTGTAGCCTTGGTAGGATTTATTTTTATTTCTTGTGCTTCCCATATCACCCCAGCCTCTAGTAGCTTGTTTCATGGTAAATCTTGTTAAGTAGTTAATGTTCTGCTTTTATGATTAATTATGGTTGGATATCAGAGCGGCGCAGCAGAAGCATAGTAGGCCGTGTTCTGTTCATAGAAAGTCAGTGGGACATTTGTTTTGCCTTGGATTCGGTGAAGCCATTCACCACTTGAAATGATCCTAGATTTGAGTTTTGGGAACAGAACTCTTTTTTAGGAGGGGTGGATGAAATACCCCAAAATTTTGTTATGTTTTAGCATTTAGTTAAGGACTTAATTGTGAGAAAATATTATTTTGGGGCCTAATAGTTAAAATCTCAACACTCAAGGGGCTTAAAAGAGGAAAATTAGGATAAAAGGTTGATATTTTTCTTTCTTTCCTTCCCAGCCACACGTGTTCCAGCTTCTTCTTCCTCCCGATTTCTGCATCTCCCGACAAGCCCCCAAGCCATTGACTCCCTCCTCCCTTGAAAAATTGGTAAGATTTTGATGAAATTCCTTTCCTTTTCTTGTTAAATAACAAGATTTTTGAACCTAGGACTCTCTCTAAAGCCAAGAAATTCCAGATCTATTGCTGTTCTTCTCCTCTGTCCGCTGTCATTGTTGGTGGGTGTGAAATTTCGGGTTTTTGGGTAAGGAAACAACATGAAATTCATCTTTTCAGCTTTGATTTGGCTTGCGTTTAATTTGAATTGTGTTTTGGTTCTTGAATTTTGGGTAGTTCCCGCGAGTCCCCTGCACTGCCACCGGCTCTTCCCCCAAACTGCAGTCTGGTTTTTGCTGGGAAAATTCTGGTATGTTGACAGCCCCTCCAAGCCCCGAATTTGTCCATTTATTTGCTGCCTTGTGTGTCCGAAAATCTGCTGGAAATAGGGGAAGAAATTAGCAGCCTTTAAACGTGTTTTTTTTAGGCTTAGTTCATGTAGAAATAAACCTGTTTTGGCTTGAAATTTAGCTGCTATTCTGCGTGAAAATCCTGCTGTTTTGCCAAATATTTTACTGTTCACGCGTACCAGTTACTGTTCATGTAGAAAATTCTGCAATTTGCTACTATTTTCTGCTCCTTTTCAGTCCGTTTCTGCTCTGAAAAATCTGATGAAATATCCATTTTTCTGATCTTTTAGCTGGCTGTAGTTGAATGCTGGAAATATCAGTTACTGTTTATGGGCACTGTTCATGATCACTATTCACACAATAATGGCCAACAATTAATGGAGATTTAAATGTTTAGTTTGTAATATAAGAACAAATTTGGAGATGTCTGGTCATGTGAAGATTGATAGGAATAGCATCGTGATTAGGGTGTAGTCATGGTGATTTTTCTTTTGAATTCGTGGTACGGTAATTAATTTTTGGATATTTTGATTAGGTTCCTGATTGTTTTGTCAGTTTAGCACTGAGATCGAGTCTTCGGTTTTATGTGAGTGAGGTAAGTAAATTTATGGTAATGCCTGTACAGTTTTTAAAAGCATGTTTTGACTTGTTTTTGAAGTGGTGGTGGGACTAAGCCCGTTTTATGCAAAAGTAAGTATGATTGATTTGAAGTGAAATTTTTATACTTTTCATTAAATTGAGCATGCCTACTTGAAATTTAATTGATTGTCCTGATGATTTGAAAGTGATTGGTGAATTATGATTTTTCTGTTAACTTCTGTATGTTTTGTCTCCGATGTGGTCATGTTGTTAGTGACCTTGCTAGTGGGGGTTAAACGCTAGCACATGTCGACATGTTTACTGATACGATTGGTAAATTCTGACACCTGCCAATGGGCGAACACATTGGTAAATTTTGACGCCTGCCAGTGGGTGTTATACGCTGGTCATGACTTATAGAGGAGACATCCATTTCATTTTCGCACTGTAACCGTTTTCGTGATTATACTGGTTGGCATGCTATAAGTTTAATTAAGGGCACTCCATATTTTACTTACTGAGTTTATCTCATAGTTTTTCTTTGTCCACCATTTTAGAAAGCGAAATTGAGGACAGCGAAATTGAGGACGGGGAAAAACGAGAGGAGTGACGAGTTAGAAGGTTAGCCACTTGTAATTTGATGTAGATTTTAGATATAATCATGATCTTGTAAGTTAGACTGCATTTGGAGATTTTATAATATCAGAGTAATATTAAAGATTTTATCTTCAGATTTTGTGGTATCAAATTGTGGTATGATAAGTTTCGAGTCTTGTGCATTTGTAGGACCATCTCACGAGTGCACGGCGTTTGTTACGCCTTGGATTTGGGTTCTCGGACGTGACAAGTTGTGAAGTAATATTAAATGATTTTAATGTTTAATTTAAAATTATTAATTTTTGTAAATATTGTCTAAGTTGTTAGTTACGTAGCTATGTCAACTGAGGTTTAATTGATCATAGGCGTGAAAGACATCAAAAGATAACAAAGAAATATGATATTTGGAGGTGCCTTATGTAGTCAAAGTGTCAATACCCCAATGATAGTGTCGACATGTACTCTTATGCTCAATTAGCTTGTAATTTCAACTTGCAACTTCAAATATCTCAATGATAGTGTCGATACGTGCCCCTATTAGGATGATAGTGTAACTTCAAATATCTAAGTATTGCATGCTTAGATATTCTGAACGATCACTTCTTCTGGCCACATATGAAATGCAATATTGAAAGGATGTGTGAAAGGTGCATAACATATAAACAAGCAAAATCTAGAGTTTTACCACATGGTTTGTATACTTCCTTACCCATACCTACTCAACCTTGGGTTGATATATCTATGGATTTTGTTCTGGGCTTACTAAGGTCGAAAATGGGCCACGATTCTATTTTTGTTGTTGTTGGTAGGTTCTTGAAAATGGCACACTTCATTCCATGTCATAAAACTGACGATGCAACCAATATTGCTGTTATGTTCTTCAAGGAAGTTATTCATTTACATGGTATTCCAAGGACTATTGTTTCTGATCACGATGTTAGGTTCTTGAGTTACTTTTGGAAGACCTTGTGGGGAAGGTTGGGAACTAAGCTATTGTTTTCGACTACTTGTCATCCACAAACTAATGGACAAACAGAAGTGGTTAATAGGACGTTGTCAGCCTTATTGCATTCTATTATTAAAAAAAAAACTTGAAGACTTGGGAAGAATGTTTGCTGCATGTTGAATTTGCTTATAATCAGAGCATCCATTCAGCAATTAACTGTTCACAATTTGAAGTTGTGAATGGTTTTAATCCACTCACCCCTTTGGATTTATTGCTATTACCCATTGATGAACGAGCTAGTTTGTATGGGAAAAAGAAAGCTGAAGTGGTTAAGCAACTACATAAGAGGGTGTGACAAAACATAAAGCGATGAACTGAGCAATATGCAAATCAAGCCAATAAAGGGCGCAAGAAAGTTGTGTTTGAACCTAGAGATTGAGTTTGGGTGCATATGTGGAAGGAGTGATTCCCTGCACAAAGGCATTCTAAGTTGCAAAGAGGCAATGGACCATTTCAAGGGATTGCAAGGATAAACGACAACACATACAAGTTGGAGCTTCCTGGTGAGTATAATGTTAGTGCTACTTTTAATATTTCTAATCTTTCTCCTTTTGACATAGGTGACGATTTGAGGACAAATCCTTTTGAAGAGAAAGGGAATGATGGGAATCAAGATGACCCCACATGTACCACGTCAAGAGATCCATTACACATTTCAAGAGGTCTAGTCACGAGAGCTAGAGCTGTGAAGATGCGAAAAGCTTTAAATGGCCTTATTGAGCAGATCTGGGTTGATAACAACATGAAACAAGTAAATCGAAGCTTGGATGATTATCAAGGCATGGTAAACATCATTCAGGTTCAAGAGAAGCTTAATTGAGGTTATTTATGCTAAATTACACTGTTTGCATCAAAATCACACAATTTTATCACAATTTGTAATAAACTGATATTTCATGTTACTTTAGGTTACTTTTAGTGATTTTCACGTTTTTTGTATTATTTTGGGCTAAACATTCATTTATTTGAGGCTCAATTCGTGGTTATTAAGATTATGGCTTAGGGTGTTAGTTTTCTATTCTAATTAGAATTACTTTTCCCTATTTAAAGGGCTTGTAACTCTAATTGGGAGCAGCTATTGAATCTGAGTTTTTAAGAGATTTTTCTCTTTGGTTCATTTCAGAACGTTATAGAACTTATCAACATTATTCTTGTCGCATTCTAACCTGACTTATCATTCTCGTTTTTAATCGTTCGAGGGTGTGGCGTCAACCAACTTTATACCTCTGGTTCTTGTCGTGTCATAGACAGCGGGTCAAGGATTTTACCTTTGGTTCTTGTTGCGACATAAGCAATGGATCAAGGTCTTATTATAAACCTGATTTAGCTTTCCTGGAGTTTCAAAATCCCTTGTTGTGTTGTGGGTCTCATTGTTCTCTTTGGGGTTCTCATCAACACTAACATATCGTACTAGTTTTATATTGTACCGATTGTATTCAGTTCCTTAATCTTGTACTGAGTACCAACCTAAATATGTTTAACTAGTACATTATTCAGGAATCGGTACTCAGTATTTTTAAAATAGAACCAAGCACCAACCCAATGTATACTAGTTACAATTGGTTCAATTGAATGGCACAATACCCACCTATACTATTGTAATTATATTTAGCTAAATTACTTCTTAAAATTGTTAAAATTAGCAATATAACATTACTAAAATTACTTTAATGAATCTTCTTACATGTAAAAAAGTTGATATAATAGATTAAAACAATTATTCTCAACACTTTAATCAACATTGTTGCAAACATGACAAAGCCAAAAACTATAAAAATCCATTATCCACGAAACAAGTCATTAATTCAACGCCTAATGCAACTTTACAATTGTGGGAAACAAAATAAGTAACAGCAATATTTATAGCAACAATGGGCAGCATTTGCAGCAACAAGTAACCCAAAAAACAAATCCGAAAGTAGTATTTATACTAACATCCAGCAACATTTGCAAGTTTGTAGCAACAAGCAACCTAAATAGTAATAGCCAACAACATTAGTAGCAACAAGCAACCCAAAAAACAAATTTGAAAGCAGTATTTATAGCAACAACCAACAACATTTGCATCAATAAGCAACCCAAAAAACAAATCCAAAACTTCACATGCACAGCAACAAATATCAGCCATCTAAAAGTGATGGACGTAACTTCTTCCTATATTCTGCAAACCATGAAATCCAATAATAACATTTAGCCAAAATAATAGAATTTTTAAAATCAGAATTTAAATGGTAGACAATTTATTTTTAAAAATATTAAACTTACCTGCTTTTACTTCCTCTAATTCATCTAAATCCTCACAATTAAGAGTAACATTGAATGTTTTCTTTTTTTGCTTAAGCCAATCTTGTGCGCATACTAGAGCTTGTGCCATCTTAGGAGTTAAAGAACTCCTAAAGTGATCTAACACATGACCACTTGTGCTGAAAGCTAATTTAGATGCCACTGTTGAAATTGGAATATCTAAAATATCTCATGCCATTGCTGCAAGAATAGGAAATCTCCCACTCTTGAGCCTCCAATATGAAAGAACATCATAAAATTGAGCATCATTTTTCATGATTTCTAATTTATCTTTAAGGTTGATGTCAAGCTCCAATTGCTCATTCTTTTCTTGAGCTGCCTTTGATAAATATCTTTTGAATCTCTCAATATCCTTCATCCCTTTCTTATTTCCTAGTTCACTTTGGGAAGAAGAAACGTTGCTATTCCTATTTGCCTTTAAGCTTGCAACACCACCAAAACCATTCCCACCACTTGGTTTAAATCTAACAAGGTGATTAAGGTTACTTCGATCAGGCCCTTGCCCCCCACTAGAACTAGATGTGGCATTTGCGCTATTACTGCCATAATTCTCATTCTGATTTTCTATTTCAGCCTTGCAAAAGTCAAATAGCTTCCTCAATTCAGCTTCAATCTAGCATCCATATTCTTTTGCTTTTCCTTCTGGCTTTGGATACAAATCCCCAAGAAGGCAATTTAAATATCCCATTTTTTGACTAGGATCCAACACCATTGCAGGAAAAATATTCTTATTCATTTTTGTCACGCCCCAAAACCAAGAGTGAAACAGACGACGTACACTTGTGAGAGATTCCCATAAATGCACAAGGCTTGAAACTTGCTAAATTCATTACTAACAAGTCCACATAAACTTAGATCAATATTTCAAAATAAAATCTAGCTTACAAAGAATAATCTACAACTCAAAATCTACGTCCAAAATACAATGGCTAGCCTTCTAACTCGTCACTCCCCCTTGGTTTCCCACATCTCAGGTCTCACTACCTGAAATGGTGGACAAGGAAAAAAAACTCTATGAAATAACTTAGTAAGTAGAAGTATGGATAGCCCTTAATTAAAATTTATAGCATGCCAACAAGTGTAATCAATTATCAAGAAAAATGGGTACAAGTACGGAAATGAAATAGACATCTCCTTTATAGGTCATGGCCAACGTTTATAAACCTCCCACTGGAGGGCACAATAGTAACTAGTGTATTATCCCATTGGCAAGAATACAGGATGAATCGGTTCCTAGGAATACATGTCCACATGTGCTAGCGTTTATGTACCTCCCACTAGTGGGCACAGTAAAACATGACCATATTGGAGAAGGGGTTACAGGAAAATTCATAATTTATAAACAATTTTCAGATCATCAAAGAAATCAAATAAAATCCTAGTAGGCATGCTCAACTCAATAAACATATTAATAAGGTTAAACCCCCATTTTGGTCCCTCAACTATTGTACGGACCCCTGACTTAGTCCCTCAACTCCAAAAATCCCTGATTTGGTCCTTACTGTTTACCATTTTTACCCTAATTTAGTCCTTCCGTTAAAAATCCAATTACGTGTCCCATTAATTAACTGAAACATGATGATGTGTCAAAATAATGTGCCACATCAAATCCACGTATGAAAAAAAGTAATGACATGAAAAAAAAATAATATGTCAAAAAAAATTTTTTTAATTCTTTTTTTTTTCTTTCTTTCTTTCTTCTCTTTCCTTTTCTTTACCCCTTGGAACCCAACGCTTACTGGTTCTTTCGAATCTAGGACGCCGCTTGGGTTCGAACGAACCCAGGCGTGGAACCCAAGCGTCCTCTTGGGTTCGAAAGAACCCAGGATGCCTGGGTTCATTCCAAGCGTCCTCTTGGGTTCGAACGACGCTGCTTGGGTTTGTTCGAACCCAGGAAGCCAGGCGTCCTCCTGGGTTCGTTCGAACCTAGGTGCGGCTTCCTGGGTTCGAACGAACCCAAGAGCAAAAAGTAAAAAAAAAGAGAAATTTTTTATTTTTCTGTGGATCTGGTTTGTTGTTTCATGATGATGAAGGAATTGATTG